TTAAGGCTAACCATGATTAACTTTAAACTCTAACCATCACTAACCAAACCATTACTGGTACAGAGTCAACATGGTCAGCTTCAAAAAGGAAGGTGGCAGAACTGTATGTGAGAAGAATGTCGGGCATAGTAGATAGCAAGCCCCCAGGCACCCTACTTAAAAAACAACAACAAAAACCACACATACCATGGTTATATGATAAAAGAATATTAGTTTCTGATTTGTGCCTCCTATGAAATGGATCTTATTTGTGCAGCTATCTGTGTTAAAAAAAATAAAAAATGAAAGCTCATGTGATAGCCTCTGATTTGAGATAAGAAGGATAATCAGAAATGGCAGATGGTTGCTCCTGACTTTTCAAGTAAAGACTTGTGAATATTTTTAGCATGAGTTCACCAGGAGACTAGTTTATTCTGCCCTCCCTTCCTCTCATTTTCACCCTTCATATTCTCCTGCATTGGTGTTCTTTGAATGGTATTCCTTAATTGAGATTCAGAAAGGATGTCCTTGCTTCAGCACTGGGAAAATTCTGATTTTCTACTGTATTTTTATGTGTAATTTCATGCCATTTTCAGTAAATTATGCTGAAATAAATGGCTGCCTTTTAAAGCTGTTTTACATCTAACTCATTGACATTCACAGTTCCAGGTTTCTCACTTAATTGAAGCACTGGGTCTGAATTACCAATCTGTAAAAGATATGTTTGATGGTCACAGGTACATATGGAACATAAGTCTGAACATTAAAGTGCTATTACAACAGCTTTCCCATGTAGTGCAGGGCAACAGTATGCTTTACACTGTGATCCTTGGAATGCAGAGGATAATTGTTAGAAAGGCTAAAATGAAACACCATTTGAGGTTTTGATTGCGAATGCAAGCTCATGTTGACTTTCAAGGGCATGATCTAATCCACTGATGGAGGAACGGTCCTGCTGAGGCCATTTTGCCCTGGTCATGCTATGAAAGCAAACCTTTTCAGATCCAAGAGTGAAATGTGCCTCCACATTTAATTCACTTTGCTCTAGCCCTCACTTGTTTTCTTTTCAATGGCCAAATCTAATTCAGAAAAAGACATCTATGAGAAGCTTGAGAAATCTTGGTCTAGAGCAGAGTTTCCCGAACTTGGGTCTCCAGCTGTTTGGGAACTACAGTTCCCATCATCCCTGACTGCTGATCGTGCTAGCTAGGGATGATGGGAGTTGCAGTCCAACAATAGTGGGAGAACCAAGTTTGGGAAACCCTGGTCTAGAGAATATTGAAGAAACAGCTTCTAATATATTACGAATATGTTTCCACCATGCATATCTTACAACTAGCCACTAGACATGATGGCTGTGCTGTACCTCCATAGTCGGACGCAATACTATTTCTGAATATCAGGTGCTAGAAGCTGCAGGAGGAGGAAGTGTGGAATATAAATAACATCATCATCATCAATCATCATCATCATCATCATTATTATTATTATTTATAAAAGAAGAGCTTTTTGTAATTGTGAGGACTGGGGTAGGAGATATGGTTTCATGTGTTTCTTTAAAAGGGTATTATTTAACATTTTATGAAAAATATCTGCAAAGTTATCTGAGAAGCATATACAAAACAACATATTTTGGTTATAAAATACATGGTTTTCTTGAAACATTCATTCTATTGTTGTCAGAGAAATGGCCTATAAATCAATAGCACATCCAATAAAAAAACCCAATTTTTCAAAAAAACCCGAAATGGGTTCTTATAAAAACACTTATCCTATCTCTACGGTAGGGAAGAAATGGTTGAAAGATGTGACTATTGAATAAGATGCTTTTTAAAAATAATAATTTAGGATTGTGCTATGCCTGCAATTAACTATTCCCTCAATATTAGAAGCAAGGACGGTTATAATTATATGGGAAGGATATGTGAAGCTATTTTGGGAAATACATTTTTCTCTCCATTCCCAAGGGGTTTATTTTCAAATCAATGTTACTGTCAGTTCATTGAAGCAACATCACAGAACCAGGTACATGAATATTGTCTGTGAAGCCATTTGTGTAAGAGTCCTTGCAACAAACTTTATTTAAAAAGTTTATTGTCCTCAACATCACATTTTGCAAATGTTTAATATATCTAAATTCTATGCAGTACATATAAATTTGATCTACAATGCTCTACAGGGCTGCTTTCAGATGTTTTCTAAAGGTTGCATCTCCTGGACTCCAATACCCTCCATTATTTCTCCAATGAAAATAGGGACATCCTACCATACCTTCCAGGGACGTGGGTGGCACTGTGGGCTAAACCACAGAGCCTAGGACTTGCTGATCAGAAGGTCGGCGGTTCAAATCCCCACGATGGGGTGAGCTCCCATTGCTCGGTCCCTGCTCCTGCCAACCTAGCAGTTTGAAAGCACGTCAAAGTGCAAGTAGATAAACAGGTACCATTCCAGCAGGAAGGTAAACGGCGTTTCCGTGCGCTGCTCTGGTTCGCCAGAAGCGGTTTAGTCATGCTGGCCACATGACCCGGAAGCTGTCTGCGGACAAACGGCTCCCTTGGCCTATAGAGTGAGATGAGCACGCAACCCCAGAGTCGGTCACGACTAGACCTAATGGTCAGGGGTCCCTTTACATTTTTACCATACCTTCCAACATTTCTCTGAGGGAAATAGGGGTGTCCTTAGGATCAAATCAGAAACCAGGACAGCATCTGTAAATCCGGAACTGTTCCTGGAAAATAGGGACACTTGAATTTAACTCCGAATAGGCTTGCTAAGATATAGAAGACTGAATCAGATAAGTGCTGGAGATGCAATGAGGCTGAGGGAACATTCATTCATATGTGGTGGACCTGTAAAAGGGTAAAAGAGTATTGTGAAATAATCCATAATGAATTGAAAAAAAAAATGTTTAAAAGTACTTAAAAAAAAACAAAAACAAACCAACAACCCAGAGTCCTTTTTGTTGGGGTTAATTCAGACGGAAATTCCCAGGTGTCAAAAAAGGTTGGTTATGTATGCCACTACTGTGGCCTGTGTTTTGTTGGCCCAAAAATGGAAAACGAGCGAGGTCCCAGCCAAAGAAGAATGGCAACTCAAGTTGACAGAATATGTGCAGCTTGTAGACTTAACATATAGAATAAGAGAACAAGAAGAAAATACGTTTAGAGAAGATTGGAAAATGTTTACTGAATATATGGAAGGAAATTGTGTACACTTGAAAACGTTGGCAGCATTAAGATAAATTCAGCAGTGTAAATAAGTTTTGATGCATGTAATAATGGAATACTGAATGGTTTAGTTTACGTAAAATATGCAGAGATTTATGATATGCAAAATGAACCATGGAAAGAGAAGAAGGGAAAGTCAGTGATATTTTAAGAATGTTTAAATGGAGTATTCTAAATTGTAAAACAGAATATATATATATATATATATATATATATATATATATATATATATATATATATATATACATACAGTGGTACCTCAGGTTAAGTACTTAATTTGTTCCGGAGGTCCGTACTTAACCTGAAACTGTTCTTAACTTAAAGCACCATTTTAGCTAATGGGGCCTCCTGCTGCTGCCGCGCCGCCGGAGCACGATTTCTGTTCTCATCCTGAAGCAAAGTTCTTAACCTGAAGCACTATTTCTGGGTTAGTGGAGTCTGTAACCTGAAGCATATGTAACCCGATGTACCACTGTGTGTGTGTATATATATATGAAATAGAAGATAATAGGGACACTTGGAGGGTCTGCAAAGGGGAAGTAACAGCTAGAAGGAGGGACTAGTCCAGGAGACGCTTGGGCTTGTCAGTGGGCCACACAACAATGCCAAATTCTGACATGAGCCAGATGAACTGGTGTATTGCTTTCCTCCCTGTTGAAAAAATGGTTGTCATGGCTGTAGGGATTACATCAACACACTTTATCATATAAATATAAATATTCAAAGTAGGAAGCCTCCAAACCATTCCCCCATGTGACCATTAACATTAACAAGCAACCCACCCCCCAGGAACTATAAAAAACCAACACCTTTCACATTTTGCATCATTTTGACGTCTGCTTTGCCAGATTTTTATCACGATCTTTTAGCATATCTTCACTTTCCTATAACTTTGCAAAGAAACATTTCGGAAAATTAATCTTTTTCAAACTGCAGTCTAATCATTGATATGTACAGATGAATGCTCCGCTGAACTTCATTTCAATCCAGTGACAATTCAATCTCAATTGGATGATCCATCTAGGGAGTTAATTTGTATGGGATGAGGAATTAATGTGAATCATTAAACTCTGAAAGGGCTCCTACAAATATATCATTGTCGGCCGTGCATCAGCCTTAATGAATTGTGCTCTCAGGCTTCCTTTGCATAGGCCGTAATATTTATCATTTCAGCTGCAGTGATTAAAATAAAGAAATGCATCTACGGACTATAATATGGCTGCAATTATGGGTTGGTGTAAAGCAGCACATGAGTATTTAAAATGAGATGGAGCGTCCCCTACCATCTTTCTTCTATGTTGAAGAAAGTACCGGTACTTGGGTGTTAGCCAGTGACAGGCAGGATTCCAAGCAAAGGACCATATCATAAAATTTGGAGAAGGGCAACATCCAAAGGATAACTCATTCCAATCCTGGGGGTGCAAATTTGGTTACAGTGGTGCCTCGCAAGACGAAATTAATTCGTTCCGCAAGTCTCTTCGTCTTGCGAGTTTTTCGTCTTGCGATGCACGGTTTCCCATAGGAATGCATTGAAAATCAATTAATGCGTTCCTAGGGAAACCGCCTTCAGACCAGGTCCGGGGACAGTCTGTCCCCGGACCTCTTCTGAAGGCTGGGGGGGGGGGCAAGGGCTTTTCTTCCCACCCCCAGCATTTTAAAAAACCCCGGGACAGCGGAGGACTTCTCCGCTGTCCAGGTGATCTTAAAATGCTGGCGGGCGGCATTTTAAAATCACCCCGGGACAGCGGAGGACTTCTCCGCTGTCCGGGGCAATTTAAAAGCCCCTGGGAAGGCAGGCGGGGGGAGCAAAGACTTTCGCCCCCCGCCCGCCTTCAGAAGAGGTCCAGGACCTCTTCTGAAGGCTGGCGGGGGCGAAGTCTCTGCTCCCCGCCTTCAAAAGCCCTCCGGGACAGGCAGGCAGGGGGAGCAAGACTTTCGCCCCCGCCCGCCTTCAGAAGGTCTTCCCTCCCCCCCGCCCGGCTTCGGAGCACCGTTCCGAAGCCGGGCGGCGGCGGCAGGTGTTCCCTCCCCCCCGCCCGGCTTCGGAGCACCGTTCCGAAGCCGGGCAGAGGCGGGAGGTCTTCCCTCCCCCCCCGCCCGGCTTCGGAGCACCGTTCCGAAGCCGGGCGGCGGCGGCAGGTGTTCCCTCCCCCCCGCCCGGCTTCGGAGCACCGGTCCGTGGCCGGGCGGGGGCGGCAGGTGTTCCCTCCCCCGCCCGGCTCGGAGCAGCCTCCCGCAGCCCCGCGGCCGCGGGAGGAGGTGTCCCCGCCCCGCCGCCAGGCTTCGGAGGAGGTCCGAGGACAGTGGGGAAGACGCGCTGCGCTTCCCCGCTGTCCCTGAGATTTCCCTATGGGCTGTCGTCTTGCGAAGCAAGCCCATAGGAAATTCGTTTTATGAGCGCCTCCAAAACGGAAAACCCTTTCGTCTAGCGGGTTTTCCGTCTTGCGAGGCGTTCGTCTTGCGGGGTACCACTGTAGTTTGCTTTAAGATCTGAATCCTGAAAAAATTCCCTCCACCACTATCTTAAACTGCCAAACAAAATTTTAAATACCTCATTTTTAAAGTTAAGGAATCAACAAGTCTGCACTCACAAGAGAATTATACTTTCCCAGGAATAGAGATGTTTGAGGCTTGGTTGGGTTTGATGCGCCTAATTTATCTTGCTAATAACAGTAGCTAAAGCAAGATTGCATTTCACTCAAAGCGTTGGGAAGGATTTGAGTTCCCTTGAAACACAGTACGTTCACCCAGCCTAGACTCTCTGTAATTTTCTGAAGCAAATCTCCACTGCTGTTGTCTCCAGCAGTAGTTAATGGTGTTTGGTATCTCTGAGGGATCAGGCTGGTGTGACAGCATTTACACTAGGCCTGACAGGCAATCTAGTAATCTGTCACTCACCATTTGTGTATCTCACACACTGATAGAGCTCCTGCTGATAAGTGTAAGTTTTCCTAGGAAGGGAAATTCAAGTATGACCAGTCACTTAACAGGCTGAGTGTAAAATAAATAAAAATAAATACCCAAACCAAAGGCCTTTTCTAATTCTGGGTGCATGTTCCCCTCTGGACTGAGAGCTGTACAAGATATTGCACCCAGCATATTTCTGTATTGGCACGTTAAGCTGAAAAGCCATTTTGTGTAGATTAACATAATATATTTATTGTATATTCCTCAGTTGTTTCCTGCTAATTCTCCCAGTTGAAGAATAGAAGACTGGCATTTCTGAAACAATCAGGTCCGTTGTATTGTGTTCTGTGGCATCGTCTCCAGTAAATACTGCTAAGTGATACTTTTGTGAACTTGTGTATAGAGTACAGGCAGACGCATAGTTGGGCGATCTTGCACCCCTGGCAGAACTGTCCAGATTGTGCCCCCTATCCACGGACAAATTAGCTCTTCTTTCTGCCTCTCCTCCAACCCTGTTCAATTCACACTCTATTTAACATCTTTTATTATGAGGCAATAATCACTATTTTTATTTATAGACAAATTTATGGACTTATTTTAAAGCCATTTTTTTGGGGGGGGGGCGTCTGCACCCCTGGCAGGGGCCCACCTCACCACTCCCTAAATACGGCCCCAAGTACAGGTTCAAGTGTACATCCCTAGGAAGTTCCCTTAACTTAGAAAGGGAGGACATGAAAACCAATAATCATCTTACACTGCCTCTGAATGAGCCCACTGGGCCATTGACTGGTGTTGGAGCCCCAGTTAATGCTCAGCCTATCACCTCTGCTCTGCAAGGTCTGTGTTAAAAAGAAGGCGGCAACCCTTCTGTGTAAGTTGGCCGCCATCATCACAAGGAAAGAAACCACACCCTTAACTACCTTGGTCTGTGCTAACTGGGTGGATTCAGCTTTATTTTAGTACAGAATTGTAATTTCTAAACAGGGCATTCATTGTGTGAATGCCTGGCAGCATTAGTTGTCCATTGCACAGCCATTATAACCTAAAGGCTGTGCAACAATCCATTGTTGCTTGCACCATTGCTTTGTGTGGAGGGTTCTGGGACTTAGAAGAGCCCACAGGATCTGGCTGGTGTCCTATCTATTTCAGCATCCTGTTTTCACAGTGGCTGTGCTGGTCCCGAGGATTAACCGTGCGGCAAGGTCTGAGTCCAGTCCGAGGTCGAGGGTGTGGTATGGAGGCTGTCTGTCAAAGCTGAAGTGGGGTCCAAGGCAGGGAGTCGGGTGAGGTCAGGAACTCTGGCAGAGAGCAGGACAGGGTGCAGGCAGGAACAGGCTACCAACAATGTTGCTCCCGCAACCTGGGACTGGGGCTGGCTGGCTTTTATCTGCCCCGAGGCATAGGGCGGCCCCGGTCCACAGGTGACTCGCCTCTCCTGGCCTGGAGGCGAGCACTCCTCCTGCAGGAACTTAGTTCCCTCCGCCCTGAGCCTCTGCAGCTCAGGAGAGGCTGGAGGGTTACTGGACCCAGAGGCAACCTCCTCTTCCCCTGACGGGGCTGAGAGTGGAGCACCTGCAGGCAATGGGTCCTCGATCACCTCAGGAGCCAGAGCAGATTCAGCTGGTGCCTGCACCCGAGGATCCAGCACAGGTAAGGACCCTTCAGGCTCAAGCCCCAGCCCCCGCTCAGCTGGTTCTGGAGGCAGGGAATCCTGTGCAGGCTGGGATTCCTCAGGTTCAGTCTCTGAGTCTGAATCCCAGGCCATCACAGTGGCCAGCCAGATGCCTAGCAAAGCCAGGGTTTCATCTGGGTAGCCATAATCCTACTACTGAGACAGCAAGTGGATCAGTAGGTCCTTGAGGCTGTATCTAAATACACAGTGGGGATGAGCACACTAGCTCTGCCAACCACCCCCATCAACCACCACAAAAAGGAGGGACATGTCCATACCTGCAAATGTTAACTTGCAGAAAATAAAATTACGTTCAAAAAATCAAAGGTGCCCTACATGGAAATCACTGTATATATCTGCCTGCAAGTTAGCAGTCTCAATCTACTCTTTGCAGCCATGCCTGAAAATTTCATCCACTTCTACACACACACACACAGAGAGAGAGAGAGAGAGAGAGAGAGAGAGAGAGATGGGGGGATTTCAGGATAATGGGGAATCTAAAAGAGTTTATTTTTAAATAAATGTAGTTTGATCCAGAATACTCAGTCAAACTGGAAACACACATCAAAGCTCGGAAGCAGATTGAGGTGCTTCCCAAAGCTACAAATACAAACTGAATCTTGTGACCGGTTCACATCCCCGATATTTACAGCCTATAGTTCTGCTCCCATTGCACCTCTGCACCAACCCTTATTATATATGAGGTAAGTTTAAAAATAAAATCAATATTTAAAAAAATTATTTCACTCGGGCTGTATTAATCTTCTGCAAATAGTAGTTAGACAAATATGTCCTCTGCTTATTTTTATTTAGTATTTTGATGCCAAAATTATTCAAGTTCTGTGCCAGTCTCTACCCTCCTCCATGTAAGCTTGCTGATTAAAAATACAGTTTGAAATGTTGAGTACAATTTGTATATATTGAAGAAACATTTGTGCAAAACCAGCTTATACTACTGGGGGTAAAGAGCATGATTAAATCATGCTGTTAATACACTGTGAATAAAAGTTGTTAAATATTTATGATGACATAAGACTATTGGATTTATAATTATTTTAATATGAATATGTACCTACCCTAAATTTTCCTGAATGGTATAACTGCACATATTTCCACATATTCGCACAGAGCCTTTCTGCATGCAATGTATCATTTATGATGATCTGACAGAAATGTGAATATCTGAATGACATCTGAGTTTATGTCATATCAAACTTTGTTTCTGTATTCTGACCTCTCTCAAGACCAATACTACCCAATAAAACCCTTCAAATCTCCTTTCTCTTGCAATTTCACGGCCATAAAAATTATATTTTCTGCCTACTCAGTTTCTTTAAAGATTTTTTTTTGCATATTACAATTCTAGTGAGGATTCTTCTGCTTGTGAAATCTACCAGGCAAGTAACAAATAGGTTTATGACATAAAAATGCCCAAGCTCAGGAGAGCTAGTTCTCAAGAATGTGCTTTTTTTTCAAAGATGACAGTGCAATTTTAATCTCATGATTTCCCCTCTTTTAATCAAGTTGCACCCACAATGATACAGTGGCTTTTATGTGTTCTAGGAAATAAAGAACAAAACCAAGGGGGCAGCCATGTAGACATGGGCTTCCCCAAATTCTTTGCATTATTTGTAGGCAGTGCTTTTTTTCTTTCATGAAAAAAAGGGGCTGGTATTCACCACGAAGTACCACACTTTTTAACAACAAAAAAAGAAGTGTCAGTACTGTATACTCTTGAATACCCCCTGAAAAAAAAGCACTGTAGGTGATGTAAATTAGGGGGAGAATCAGTGCGATTTTTCTGGGAAAAGATGCCAGAACTCACCACGAACATCTCCCTTATTTTCTTAGAATGGCACTGGCACCCACCTGAGAGGTGCCAGAACTCAGTTCCAGCTGGGGAAAACCCCCCTGGAAGGAATATAGCATAAAATTCTTGGGGTAGAGGTGGATTTCTCCAACACGTGTCCTCCTGAGAAATTTCACCTCACTTAGATTGCTATCCTATAAAAGTCTACTCCCATATCACATTAGCCTTATAATAATAATAATAATAATAAATGTTATTTATATCCCGCCCTCCCCAGCCGAAGCCAGGCTCAGAGTGGCTAACAGTAAAACGATAAAACATTCTAAAATGATTTCATTATAAAATTAATTCCAATCAAATTAATGGCAACCATTGGGCTAGAAGTTCTGTGAGGATTGCCAAAGGAGGGAGTCAGGCTATGTCCTGGCCAAAGGCCTGGTGGAACAGCTCTGTCTTGCAGGCCCTGCGGAAAGATGTCAAGTCCCGCAGGGCCCTGGTCTCTTG